CTTCGGAAAGGAAGAATATGTAGATGCATGTTTACTAATTATAAATACATAATGAAACACATTTGCCTAAAAAGCAAAACACGTACTCCAGTTTTTCCAGAAAAAAAGAGAGAATGTTGCCTGTCGTGTGAAACTCTGACTCAAAATATGTTAGTATTGTTTCTTGTGAATAAGTGGCTATGACTGTGGAACACATATTGTCGGCATTACTAGGAGTAGCGCCTTTGAGCTGAAGAGCTTCAAACGTCCACAATGATCTGTTCATTCAGGTCGGTGCGACTGCAGCCATAAAACAACACAACAAAATGTAGGTCTTTTTTTTACACGTTAAAGAAATGAAAGGTAACGTAGAAAATGACCGTGAATTACGTAGAGTGAATCACACCTGAGCAGTAACATGGTGACATAGGAAAAGCAGACGGTTTTATGCTTCTAATCTTAGTCAGAAGCCTTGCTTTCCTGGGTAAAGATCCCTGCCAAGTGTGATGATGCCACCATGTGGAGAGTTTTATGCTTTTACCTGTCTATTCCCAGCTCTGCTTCCTCCACCTTCTCTAATAATTGGCTGACAGAATAAATATGGACACACAAGATCATATTTATTTTACCTGTAGTACATATTCAGGATTATAAAGAGCTAATGAACCAGAATTAAAGATTAAAATGCTGTTGAAACACATTTTCTTGCCTGTGATACCTTTTTAAGTCTTTGCTAGCTGTAAATAAATGATCACTTGGATCGAGAACCACCTAGAACGTTAATTCCCGGAGGAACGTGTGCTAAGCGTACACACCACATGTGATTCTGGTGAAACTCGAAGGGTTGTTGCTGCACTCGATCACATATCAGGAGACAAGTGATGCCTGAGATCTGATGGAGCGCTGAGCTTTTCCACGCTCTGATCCAGGAACGTGATGCGAATCCAGCTGCCCGAAGACCTCGGATGGAAAGGGCAGTAAAAAATGCGAGTAGGAGTTCATTCGTTGAAACAAGGCCTTCTCAAGATCTGCATGGACTTTATCGGGACCTACAATTAGGGTAATGATTACTGGAATGAAAGGACTATTCCGGAAGGCAGGACTGGTTTCTTGTAACTACTGCAGGATCAGTTTAGAGACAGAAGGAAGGGATTAGGAATGTTCCCACAGTAGAGACCAGAATGACTCAGAGAGATCTCGAACGACGACAACGTCGAGAGCGTGTTAGCCGCCATGGTGGTGTAGCACTCCGCTACGCTAGCCAGACGCTGCCTGTTGCGTGATGAGTAGCTCCTTCCCGGAGGCTCCCAAAGCTTAGACAGGAAGCCTGATGAAAGCAGAGCGAATCAGGCCACCCAGGAGTACAAAACTGTCAAAAAACTGTGATTCTGGGCAGACGTTCCAGCTGGGTGATCACATAAACCTGGGCTGGAGGGGATGTCATGAAATAGAACTTCAAGGTACTCTGTAACCCAAAATATTACCACAGGGTGTCAAATGTTACAGACAAGCTCCTCTCCCTAAGGGAGTTTACATCACTAAACCTTCTGCATGTTGCATGTTAACAAATTCCCAGTGTAATATTTGGAAGTTTCCCCTTTTAGCTAGGTCTGTATAACCAATGGCGCATTTTTGATTACACGATCGCATACTTAGGGAGCCATCTGGCAAAAATTCTGGTGTTAGCATTTTTCACACCAAATGAAGACCAGCGGTCCGTACATCCAGTCTCATTCATGTGCAATAAATGACCAGAATAACAGTCATCCATCTCTATTGTTTCAGTATGAAATCATGGAATAGCTGGCTCCATAACAACCCCGCTTGTTTCTACGGAAGTGGTTCTGTTGGTGGTCCTCAGAGCTCTTTCAAATGAGGTGGAAGAGGCTGTGTTTTCTGTTAGAAGACAATCAGGAGAGCTGAGGTCTCACGGATCTCTGACATCTGCACATTTGGCTGGGGAGACCGCGCTTGGCATGATTGTAAATGGATTTATCTTATACATTTGGATCTTGTCAAAGAATGGTTTGTGGTGTGTGGAGAAAATCGTGACTTAATGCCCTCTGGGGACCTTATTCTTAACATGGAATCCGCAGTCCCCATAAACAATGACCAGTTAATATCTGAATACGTTGAACCCCATGGAACCACTCCTTGTATGATCAGTATGACTTTTTAATAAGCAGTTTGCCTATTGGACCATGTTTCAGTATCGTAAATGAACAGAACAGCAGAGGCATGGTGTCTCGTAGTAAACTCCAGGGAGATGTCACAACCTGCTCCTATCCACCCTGTCCTGTTCCTGCTGGGCCAGCAGGTGTCGCTGCTGGCCATCCAGCATCCACCCCTCCATTCCATTACCCTAGCTCAGGGGTGTCAAACTCCAGTCCTGGGGGGCCGGAGCCCTGCACATTTTTGGGTTTCCCCTCATTTAACACACTCAACTCTTTGTGCTAATTACCACGTCGCTCTTGAACTGAATAATTTGTGGTGGAACAGGGAAAGAACTAAGCTACACAGGGCTCCGGCCCCCCAGAACTGGAGTTTGACACCCCTGCCCTGGCTGTTCTCTATCGCTTGTAATTAGTTAATTGTCATGATACACACCTGTCCCTCATATACCCTCATCACTATTGTATATATGTACTTACTTGTGCTTAACCTGTCTGCTGGGTCATTTTCTGTTCACCAATAGTGGTGATCGAGAGTTTGTGTTCCACTGTTCCTTATCTGTAGCCAGTTCCTGTTCTCTCTACCTGCCTTCTGCTTTCACCCATCATGGTCCTTTAATTCCTGTCGGTTTTGTTTCCCTAATAATCCCTTTTAGTTTCCCCCCCGAACGCTGCATCTGGATTGCCTTTCTGTGGACGTGACTTGAGGTAACCTCCCATCCATGCCTACAAGCAGTAACAGATGTGATCGGAGCAGCGTCAGTAACCACATGACTGAAATGGTAATAGTGCTTTTTTTGGGTAACATTGTAACATAGGACAAAGACTGGCTTGTGTCTTATGGTGGGATGTCATGTGAATGACTATAACTCATAACGAGCGATAGCAGGTGGTGAGGCTTTACAGTTTGTTAAGCTATGTGCAAACACAAACATGTGTAACAGCTTTAATTGGTCAGACATAATACCACTTAACACAATGCTCACCCTATATTTAATGCAATCTTCTTTCTTCCTCTCATTCACTTCACTAGCAAAGAAGAACTTGAAACGAATGGAATGATACATCGATGAAGTATTTTTAAATTAATTATTTAAACCCCAAAGCTGAAATCTGAAACAATAAGAGACTTTCTGACTATAAAACGATATGATGTTTCAACACACTCAAGCCTGCTTGCTTACTTCCCGGATCTGAGAGACTCCTGTTACGGTTCTAGGGACAGACCTAAGACCAGAAAGTTGTTTAGCTTGAACTGCTGTAACCCATTCATGAGAATACTTGAATCCATTGTGTTGTAAGATGAATGCCTTCCTAGAGCATTCCCTAATGTATCCACTAAGTGTAGAAATTGGCACGATGGAAATTGCAGGATGTTCTTTGTAAACTTGTGCTCCCATGTGCACTGTGATGTTTTGGAAACTCTCCAAGGTTTTCCTTCAGGGCTGCCCCGTTATGATAAACATTTACATAAATGTGCACGCCCATTGATTTGGAATAACATTTAACAGGTTTCTAATGTTGCGCACGTATCAGTCTGAAATTTTACACTGTGGTTTTAAGTAACCATTTCCCACTTCAGTGTTTACCCAAAGCGCCCTCTACTGGTCACTGTTGTTTCCTAATAGAGCGGCGTGTTGCTTAGCAACTTCCAAAGGGGGCCATCAGTCGACATCTCTGGCAGTACCAACACGCTGAGAGGCAGAATCTCTCTTCAAATGTTTTTGGCATTGAGAAAAAAAAAACCACAAAAAATCTCTGAGGATTGTGCACTTGAGGAATTAATTTGTGCAGTGTTTTTCTGTAACACTACTTGCATAAACTACTCTTGGCAGTTAATTTGGGCCTGATACCCTTTGGCTGCCTAACTACTACACTACCAGACAAAGATTCATCCGAGAAGCTGGGATTTCTGGATGAATGCAGCCTTTCTTGAACAATTAGCACAAAACTAATGCTAGTGTTCAGACGGGCTACGAGACTAGTATACTCTAGAGGAGTCTGCTTCGAGAGTAAATGGGCTGGAGTGAGATTAAATCTTTCTAATGTCCATAAATTTCCTTGTGGTTTAACTATGACTTGGAAATATTAAGTTTAATACCTGGAGCTATACCTACAAGTGAAAACAGGGCCTTTAGATTCTCCATTTCTGCAGTTAGGCAATCTAGCTACCAGAAAGTAGCACATAATTTAAAAAAAAAAAAACTTTCTATGTCATCTAAAAATAAAATTGCTTAAACAGCTAAAAAATGCCCTCACTTCATTATAGAGTCAGTGTACAGGAGAATGGCTGTGTAGCTATTCTCTGCTTATTCTCTATGCGGTTTCTATGCTTAAATCAGTTCGATATTATTGACCCATGCATGCTAATACGGGGTTAATAACTAACAGTCAGCTTCTCTATCGACCTGCACTCTCCAAATAAGGCACCTAATTCATTACAGTTGCATTCCATTTATCTTTGTGGCCTTTCACGACAACACAAGTGCATACATATTGATGAGAAAGCAAAGTACAGTACAACTTCAGGTTACCAACCAGCTGCTGTTATTAAACTGAAAGTTCATCCGATTGTTCCAACAACTCTTAGGCAAAATTGGTTAGTGTAGAATTTTAAATCCCGTTCTATGCTGTGATTTGCATGGAAACCAAATCGTGGGCGCGGAACTCTGTCAGAATATTAAAGTTCGCTCTCAATAACTATAATAATGCATGTTTGGATCCTGCAGATTCCTGTCCATCCTGACACTGCAGAATTACATAAGTATGACAGAACCCATTAAGTAATGGCTCGTAGATTAATTCTAGCTATTTATGAGGTAACCAATTAAAACACAGCCGCACATAGGATGACAACATAAACAACCTTTATTTCTCCTTACGAATCGAACTACGCTTCTTACACAGATTTATTATTACATTCATTATTACATTTCGGTTTGCAGTCCAGGGAAATGGAAAAAAAGGAGTCAACATCAACTTGCTAACAGCTCGGTAAAACAAGGCCAGTGCCGTTTTATTACAATGTAAGTTCGCTCACAACTAATCAAGCGTCTTTAGAGCAATTGAAACTGTCTACGATGAACGCATGGTCTCGGCTCGACGTACGACAGACGCGACCGGAATAAGAAGGTCTGCCCGTCATCCCTGAACTTATTTTACATCGACCGTACGCCCAAAGCGCGTCTGTCCATAGCTATGCTAAATCTCTGAGGGCTAAGCATTCTATGCCTCACCTTCTTCTGTGAGAACAGCCTGGCATCCTTGAACCGTCTTTTCCCCTTGAGATTGTTTTAGTATCACAAGAGTATTGAGCCATGAGTACTGAGTATCGAGTACTGGGAAACACCCTTCAGTAAGCCAAGACAAGATCTACTATTTCAAGGGACCCCCAGTAATCGTATCCTTTCTGTATATTTTACAATAGAAGCTCAGATATATTTCTCTTAGATTCTCTATGTATATCTTCATAATTTACAATTAATCCTATGGTCTTGTAATATCAAAATTTCATACAGCTTTTTTGTCACTGAAATACATGAGTAATAATAAACAATTTCTGACATAAAATACATTTATGACTAGAAGTGTATAAGTGTAAATGTGGGACTGCCTTAATTAAAAATGTTCATGTCGTTCTCGTTACACTCCACACAACACAGTGTCCCACGTTTGGTTACAGAGTTTGGTGCTGATCCATGGTTACTGGAATTTTTCAACAGGTACCATAATGAACACAAATTCACAGGAAGTATAAAGAGGAGCCGTTTCCTTGCCGATACGGTGAACTGCTTGTGCCATTTTTTTTTTTTCTTTTTCGCGTTTGTCAGTTTTGTGGAACGGCAACTTAGAAAACTTGAAAACTGGTGCTGCTGGGAAAAAAAAAAATGAACGAGCAGTTCAACGGGATCCCCCGCCACGATAGCACAATTGAAAGAAAATGAAAAGATAACACATTAGATGACCAACACACGAATGCTAAACAATTACATTTTTTTCCCCCGATGTCACACCGACGCTCGCGAGGGTGGGGATGGCTGTTCAGAAATTCAGGGTTTCTGACATCATCTTCCACCAATCCAGTAGCTCCTCCTTCTCCTCCTCCTTCCTCTCCACCAATGACTCCAGGTCGAAGTCCACCTGTGGACACAGGGTCAAAAAGCAATAAGAATGGCTCCTGTGATAAAAGCAAGCTGAGTTCCCTCAATGTCAAACTATCTCTTATGCCCTTGGACATTCCCCTGTATTTGGTGGCTCGACTTATCGCATATCTTGTTTGGCTAATCAATACCTCATCGAATTATTCCGAGTAAATGAACTAAGTGAACTGGTGGTGAGATTTAGCAAATACATGGAGTGGCTGAACTGAAGCGGTGTTCATCTAGCCATCCAGCAAGATATTAGTAACTTCTAGTCTTTATTGTGTTACTGTTCGTTTGCATATATTCCAATGTTAAATTGCGTTATCTGAGGAAATATACACATACTACCCAGACAAATAGCTTTAGAATTTTTTCTTTACTGCCTAAGACGTCATATTATGTATGATGTTATGTATATATTATATTGTGGGGACCGAATGTCCACACCATGTGATAAAAACCTGTTACTTTGATGTTGTGGGACCATTTTTTCGGTCACCACAATAGGAAACTCAATTTTATAAATATCTCTGAATGCATATCAAAAGACTAAAAACGCCAAAAGTCTTGTAATTTGTTTAGTTATTTTTAAATAAGGTTAGGGCTGGGTAGGGGTTAAGGTCATCGTGTTGGGATTAGAGTTTTCCCCATAGAAATGAATGGAGAGTCCCCACAAAGATATAACGTGTGTGTGTGTGGGTGTGTTTGGCACCATACTGGATGTCCAAGCTCCAGTGGGTTGACCTACCCTTACGCCTGGGCTGTGAGGTACTGCCACCTTCTTCATCACAGCCAGGTACCCTGGAGCTGAGGCTGTCACTTTGTAGTTCCCAGGGGCCAGAAGACGCCAGTAGTCCCCATCTTTGGCTGGAACACATTTGCAGATAAGGGGACTGAATTTTACTTTATATTGAACTATGATGGTACAGTGGTTCGGCAGGAATGACTGTGGCCTTACACCATCAGGGTTATGGGTTCAACGCCTTGCCTTGTGCCTTGTGCTTTCTGGGACAGACCCCAGGTTCTCTGTCACCCTGTGTTTCTTACAGGGCACGTGCAGAGGGCGTTGGGGGCTGGGGGGCTGAACACCTGCCAGTTTTGCCTGAACTATTTAATGTGAACCTGAGTGTGAGTTTTAAACGTGCCCATTTTTTTGACCTCTGGTCACGTCCCCCTCAAGCTGTTGCCACACACAACCCTGCCTCTTACGCACTTAAGGACTGAAGTGTAAATTTCAGGTCCAGAGAGTAAACAAGATTTTTGTTTCAACCAACCAGTTGAGTATAAAGAGTCACAGTCACTCAACTGGTTGTCTGAGACAAAATCTGGAATTTTACTTTTTGGATTTGAAATTTCCACCTCTGCTTAAGGAAGATCGATGGATATATTAAACCGCAATTTTCATCTGTCCATCGTACAAATGCTTATTTTTAGCAGGGCTGTAGTCAGGCCTACATGTGTCCTTGTCTCCTGTTACCTATTTGTTGTTTATAGCCTAACTACTTTTATATTTTATGTTAAGCTCTTACTGTACATTGTCCTTGGGTACCTTGAAAGATGCTTAAAATAAAATAATTATTATTACTACAGTTATAAAAAGACAGAAATCACAATCCTGCTTGATTGTTTTAAAATCAACATTTCACCTTAAATCTAAATACAGAAATAGAAAACATTATGGATGGTGCATTTCTTAATTCATCCACTAGGTGTCAGCAATGCATTCAGCGCACACAAAATATAAATAAATAAATAAAACACCAACCAGAAGTCATGTCATGGTCGATGTCATCCACAGATATGGTGGCGTTAGAGATAGGGTTCCCCTGTAGGTCCCGCACAAAGCCTTTCACCCCGCGATGGATCTGCCGAGGAGAGCGGTTGGTGAGACTGAAGCAACATAGCATTCCACACAACTCTAAACATTTTCAGTGACGTCAAGAGATTAACGATGCATAGCATCGATTAAGTAACAAACCCGAAAAACCAATTTATGTTGCACTCTCCCAGCACTATATCTGAACTATATCTGGTTTTCAAGTAAGAATTTCATTGTGCTCTGTACGCTGTACTTGGTACACATGACAGTAAACTTCAACTTCAACTTCAACTTCAACGGCTAGCCATACCTGCTCGATGTAATTGACTAGAGAATTTTTGTTCTGGTCCCAGTACATCTTCAGGGTGTCTTCTGGTGGGAATTTGTCACAGCTTAACTCTAATGTGATCTCAAAGCAGTTGGTACTCAGATAGTTGAAATCCTGCATCCCTGAGAGACACACAGAAGGGGTTTGCTTCAACGGCTGAAACATGCAGCGTTTTATTGTTTACTTGATGGTACAGCTAAGTCTTTGTCATCCAAATTGGGTTGAGTTTGGGGAAATCATAACCGGCATAAAATTAACCAGCATTACTCCACTGAAATATACAACTGGGTCAAACATCTGAAGGTTGCTTTTACAAAAAGCTTTCAAAAGCTCTCAGTCTGAATACAGTGCCGTGCTAAGTCTTGGGCATTCATTCATTTAATTCTTTTTAAAAAGTCGATGAGGTATTGATTAGCCATACAAGACGGGGGGCAGTGGTCAAATGAGCGAATTCACGGCTTTACTGGATGGTCGCCGCAAACGCTGGGGTGACTTTAGGTTTTGAGATGACAACGCTAACACACTTTTACATAATATCAGGGCTTTACACCAACATAAAGATCATTTATACATTTCCTTTGACTGCCTAGAACTTTCGTACAGATTGCACTGAACGTCTTGAGGAAAACACTAACATTTTGACACATCCCTTGCAGTTATTCTCAGTACAGAAGAGAAGTGACACACAAGCTCGCTAAATTGACAAGGACCCTGAAGCCCATTGTGACACACACCTCCAGGAACACTGTACCAGGCTCCTCCATTGGTGATCCCATCCACAAAGCTGCTGTCGTCATCATTCTTGCGGCACGGGGCCCGGTTGGGGTCAGACATTATCGGGTTCAAACTGGAATAGGCGCGGGCGAGGCTCTTGAAGATGACATCATCGGGGCTGGCGCTGTACTCATGGGTGGAGCCTATTTCACGAACAGATGGCCAAACCCCACGTTGGGGTCATATTAACCCACTGAGGTGCACATGTCGGTCTTAATAGTCACTTGTTTTTTTCAATTTATTAAAGAGTAACAAGAAAATAAATCACAGGTTTGCTTAGCACTGCCTATTAGCCTGGCGTTCTTCAAATGCGCCATAACGACGCGCATTTGGTGTACGGCAACTCAGACTGCCAATAAGTGGAGCCACACTGTCCAAACATTGTGAGTCATTACTCATTGGCGTTAGACCATTTTCGTGTCCATGGCAACAGGGATGGGGCTCTAGCACAGTGAATAACCTTTTGTGTAGCTAACCTTGCGTCATGCGCTCTCTGCGAGCACCTGCCTCATTCTCCTCTAACCGTTGCTTTGTTTTCCACTAACCTGCCGAACAAACATAAAGTGAACAGTGCGAAGAGCACATTAAAACACCAGGGACACCTTTGTATTACGAACAGTTAGGAATTTATCGCCATGAGCTTAAGAAGAATTTTTGTGCTAATGCTACATGTTTATATGCCTGGAGATGAACATTATATAAAATTGTTGCGCAACACTAGCCTGGCAGTCAAACGCCGCTTCCAGTGTACCGGACATGGAATGAGGCAACCACCTCAATCAAAGCATTACGCAGAGAGGGAGTAAGGCAATAATCGGCAAGGTGATTGTTTACGTTGCCCAATAAGCCTTTAAATACGAGCCTCCCATTGTGGCCTCAGAGGCAGAGAACTAAAATGTCAGACCCACCACTACGAGTTTCGTCATAGGGGTAATTCGCCACAACATCTCCGCCGTGGAGATTGGCCGAGAGGACGAAAGGAACGTCCATGATCCAATGGATGACTGCCTTGGTTTCAGGGGCAAGCTGCAGAGAACATTGAAATTACAGGAACTCAGTCCACCCTTAAAATAAACAGTTTAGCTGCATCTCGCAAAAACTGGATGGAGCTTAGATGATGTACTCTTCAGTAGAGATCACAACCATAATGTATTAAGTGTAAATAAATATCTGAGTCACACTGTACTTAATATTTACTAAAATATTTAATGAAGGGATGAAAATTGTATAGTTAATAAGGTGTCAAAACAAAATTATAAAAGAAAAATGTGTCATGCTCACATTATTTGAAAACCAGATGATAAAATACTTCTTCAAACTATACCTGTCACTGGAAAAGTACACATTTGAAATAACTTTGCAAGTAATGAGGCAGACCTATAATAACAGCTACAACTAATAAGCCCTTACATTATTACACTGTCGATATGAAGGTGGTGTCTGCTGGCGTTTAAAATGAAATCCCAGCAGACAGGAGTAATCAAATCCAAACAAGGATAAGACAGGCTAGACTAATCAAACCAGTAATTAGATGATGTTTGCTTCTACAAAGTCATCCATACATCCACCTTCGGATCCCTTCAGTCTCAGTGACAGGACTGTTATATAATTTTTATTTTTTACATAAAAATATCTTTTTAAGTATGTGATTTTAAGCTGCCAAAGAATCGACAAGGTCAAGTGTAGCTAGGCTGAGCTTCCAATGAATTCCCAAGAGTAAGAATAACAACTTCTAACGAAGCAATAACCTAATAAAACTATTCCATGAGCAGAAAGTGTAACATTACGAAATGCAGAGAACATGGAGTGGTGTCAGGAGAATGGAGGTGCTCCTGGAACAGATGTGTCTTGAGATGTTTCTTGAAGATGTTCCTTTAATACCTCATTCTAACATATTGAGTATTGGCTTCTCGTTCTCGGTCTATACCTTGGTGTTCTCCTCCACAGCCTTCTTGTCCTTCAGAAGGTGGTTGTTGGCTCCTCCCTCCTTCTCATTGACATAGACGATGCGATCCAGGTCGGGGAAGTTCCTGTTCAGGTCGACACCCTGTGCATTGCTGCGGCCCACAAACCAATCCTTCAGGTCCCCAGGCTGCGGGATGAGAATGGGGGCGAGAAAGACAAGACGACCTTCAAGGTCAGGTCCGAGACGGGTCCAGGGCACGCTGGTGCACGGGGAAGCTGAGCATCTGCTCATCCCGAGGTCAACTCTGAAGCCAAAATGCATCTGACAAATAATGACATCATTTCATTTCACAGTCATCGGCGTTTATACCCTTCAGACACGTGGATAATATTCCGCATAGCTATTAAGGAACAGGCAAGGTCAGTAATTCATCAATTTGAAAGTATCACAGGTCAGCATTCAAAATAAACAACTAAAATGTACCAAGCTTGTTTTTGACAGACATGTTTATTTTATTTTTTTTTGCTGGGGGGGTGAAGGAGCATGAGTGTTTTTCAGGTACATAAGGAGGTAAATAAGTGCAAGATTGTGCAGAGAATGAAGTGGGTATTGGGTTTGTGGCAAATGGTTTGAAGGCTGGCACACGGTTTTAAGGCTGCGGCATCGCATAAAAGTGAATTACCTCTTAGATACTGTGTTACGCATAATTTACTACGCAAAATCACTACTGTGTCGGGGAATCAAGAGCTAATAATTTCTGTATGTTACAGACATAAATGTTGTTAAATATACCACTTTTTCTTATTTTTGAGTTCAGAAACTATGCATCCCCAAACGGCTGGTCGATCCGATAGCTGACAGTAGGGCCGAGAGGGTGAATGAGAGGCCTGGTGATGTGTGATGGAGGGGGAATCTGATTGGTCAGCTGAGAGACAGCTCTGTGTGATACCAGAAGGACACCTGGGCTCGCCGAGGCCACTGCCCCATTTCCCTGGCGGCCATGTTTTCTGGGAAAGATCCTTACAGTTCAGCATCAGCTAACGAGCTACGTGCTAACATGCTACATGCTAACAAGCTATGTGCTAACTAGCTACATGCTAACATGTACAGATAAGGGGATCTCGCTTAGATGAATAATAAAAATAATAATAATAATAATAATAATAATAATAATAAAATAATGACGACTGCCCACATCCGTGCAGCCCTGTGCCAGCAGTACCTGGGAGGCGGCCTTCTCAAAGCCATCGGGATTCATGGAGGGCATGATGTGGATCCGCGTGCTGTGGATCAGTTCGATGATGGTGTCATTGCCCCGCTGGTACTCGTTGCAGAGGTTTTGCGCCAGGTAGATGAGCAGCTCGCGGCCCACTGCCTCGTTGCCGTGCATGTTGCCGATGTACTTGAACTCCGGCTCGCCTGGCGACAGAGGGTGATTGGTGTTACCACGGCAACCAGTTGCCAAGCCGTCCACGGGACAGCAGTCAGGCTAGGTCAATCCCCCTTGGGGATGACAGGAAAAATCCTGTTTTTAAATAAATACATTGAAGTGCGAAAGTCTTAGGCTGCCATTTTAAATTATGTTTAAAAGATCTTCATGTTGGTGTATAACTGTGATATTATGTTTAGGGCGACTATATTTGGCTTTGCCCCGGGGGTGGGATGCAAAAAGAATCGCCAAAGCAACACAAATATGCACACAGAAAGTGCTCCGACTGTAGAAAGCAATAGTCAACATGAAACAAAATGAAATCCCAGACATTTCCAGCATTTTTAGGTCCCAAAAATGAGGTCAAGTCCGGGAAAAAAAGGACGTATGGTCACCCTAACTATGTCTGTTGAAGTGCGTTAACTCTCCTAAAGTCACCCCAGTATTTGACTTAATCAGTTTCTAATCAATACCCCATCAAATTATTTAGCCAATTATGTTAATAAGTGGTGATGAAATTTAACGAATACATGGTGCCCCTAAAGAGAGGTTTGGGAACTGGAGAGGTGTTCATCTAGCCATCCAGCAGTATGCCAGTAACTGTCTGGAGAACAGAAGAAATTCTTATTTTTTGTATCGTGTCACAGTTCATTTGCATATACTCTACTGTTAAACTGTGCTTTTCTGAGCAAATGTACACGTACTACCCAGATAAATAGCTTTTAATGATTCCTTTGATGGCGCCAACACTCCCGTACATTACTGTAATTAACTCCATGTACGTACATCTCAGCTGAAACCTAATTACCGTTGGAGAGACATTTCCCCCGTCTCCACAGCGGCGTCTTCACTTCACTGTTCAGACACGAAACTATGTCACGGAGTGATTTTTCGAGTCAGGCAGTAGTCACGGACACCCCCTCCCACCAGGCACCGCTAGAAGACTACACCTGGTGCAACGAGCGTAATATTTTACGTTGTAGTACCGTCTTTTGGCCACCGCTCATCAAGCACACAGTTCAGGAATAGTGACATAAAAGCAGCTGACTTGCCAATTACCTGACAACGCGTGTTTATAAAATGAAACACAACGTGCCGCTTGTTTGATTTCCCTGGTGTCTCAGTTGCGATTCAGCCAGCGATCGCACTCGGCTTCATGAGCAGTGACCCTTTGTTTACGGGGTTTTTACTCCCGTTACGTTTCATTCATTTGGAAGACACTTCTATCCAAAGCAGTGTATATTTACTGAGAAAACAGGAGCAGTTTAGGGCTGTCTGCCGGGCAGCCGATTTGAACCAACGACCTTCCAATTACAGCCATGCTGTTCTAACCTACTGAACCACATGACACCACCAAAAATACGTACCTAAAAG